CAAAATGCAGGGTCATTTCTATCATATTATGGTCACTGCCCCTTAGGTGTTCCTTCATGGTCAGCACCCAAATCAAGTTTGCCTCATTACACATTACTAAATCTAGAATAGCGTGTTCCCTAGTGGGATCTACCACAAGCTGTTCCAAAAAAGCCATCTCATAGATATTCCACAAATTCCTTTTCTTGAAATCTGTACCAACCGGACTTTCCCAGTCCACCTGCATTTTGAAGTTTGTTTTTATTGTGGGATATGGGCATTGCTGGTTGGCCAGCATTTATTATCTGTCCCTTCTTGAGAAGGTGGCCGTGAACTGCCTTCTTGAACCGCTGCAGTCCACCCGCTATGGGTTGACCCACCATTATGAAGTGAATTCCAGGATTTTGACCCAGCGATGGTAAAGGAAAGGCAATATATTTCGAAGTCGGGATGATGAGTGGTTTGGAGGGGGACTTGCAGGTGGTAGTGTTCCCATGTATCTGCTGCCCTTGTCTTTCTCGAAGGAAGTGGTCGTGGGTTTGGAAGGTGCTGTCTGAGGATCTTTGGTGAATTTCTGCAGTGCATCTTGTAGATAGTACAAACTGCTGCTACTGAGCATTGGTCGTGGAGGGAGTGGATGCTTGTGGATGTAGTGCCAATCAAGCGGGCTGCTTTGTCCTGGATGGTGTCAAGTTTCTTGAGTGTTGTTGAAGCTGCACCCATCCAGGCAAGTGGGGAGCATTCCATCACACTCCTGACTTGTGCCTTGTAGATGGTGGACAGGCTTTGGGGAGTCAGGAGGCAAGTTACTCGCCACAGTATTCCTAGCTTCTGGCCTGCTCTTGCAGCCACTGTTTATGCGGTGGGTCCAATTGAGTTTCTGGTCAACGGTGAGCAGGTTATTTCTGAGCAGGTGCTGCTTGATAGCACTGTTGATGAAACTTTCCATCACTTTACTGATGGTCAAGAGGAGACTGATAGGGCAGGTACTGGCTGGGTTGGATTTGCCCTGCTTTTTATGTACAGGACATACTTGGGCAATTTTCCACATTGCCAGATAGATGCCAATATAACGAAACTGGAACACTTGGCTAGGAAAGCGGCAAGTTCTGGAGCACAAGTCTTCAGTACTATTGCCAGAATGTTGTCAGGACCATAGCCTTTGCAGTATCCAGTATCTCCAACCATTTCCTGATAGCACATGGAGTGAATCGAATTAGCTGAAGACTGGCATCTGAAACACTGAGAACCACTGAAGGAGGCCGAGATGGATCATCCACTTGGCACTTCTGGCTGAAGATTGCTGCGAATGCTTCAGCCATATCTTTTGCACTGATGTGCTGGGCTCTTCCATCATTGAGGATGAGGATACTTGTGGAGCCTCCTCCTCCAGTGAGTTGTTTAATTGTCCACCACCATTCACCACTGAATCTGGCAGGACTAAACAGCTTAGATCTGATCCATTGGTTGTGGGATCGCTTAGCTCTGTCTATCACTTTCTGCTTTTGCTGTTTGGCTGTTTGCAAGCAGTCCTGTTTGGTGACTTCACCAGGTTGAGACCTCAGGCATGCCTGGTGCTGCTCTTGGCATGCCCTCCTGCACTCTCCACTGAACCCCACGATTATTGAGATAGAAAAGTGCATTTCTTACATGCCTATCTCCTGATTTGTTTTCTTCCGTACATGCTGACTACTGCTTGGAGGCCTGTACATAACTCCCATAATGGTCTTTTTCCTTTGCAGTTCCTCAACTCTACCCACACAGATTCTATATCACTATATCTTGTTGTCGATTTAATTTCATTTCTTACTAAGAAGGCAACTCCCCTTCCTCTTCCCATCTGCCTGCCCTATTGATATAGGACGCGTATCCTTGGATATTTAGTTCCCAGCCCTGATCCCCTTGCAGACATGTCTCTGTGATAGCCACAACGTCATACCTGCCAATTTCAATCTGTGCAACAAGCTCATTTCCCTTGTTTCGTAGGCTGTGTGCATTTAAGTACATCACCCTCAATCCTGCATTGACTGCCCCCCTTCTTATCGTAGTCCCCTTACCTGCTGTGCCTGAAGTTAGATTCGTAAACTTTAACCTCAGCTTTGTCCTCTCCCCTTCTTTAACTCTTTCCATAATTTTTCATGCAACTAAACTCGTCATCCCATTTTTGGTTTAAAGCCCTATCCACAGCCCTAGTTACGTGATTCACAAGGACTCTGATCCCAGAACTGGTGCCAACGCCCCATGAATTCAAACCCATCTCTCCCACACCAATCTTTGAGCCACGCGTTTACTTCTTCAGTCTTGTTGACCCTGTGCCAATTTGCTCGTGGCTCAGGTAGTAATCCAGAGATTATTACCTTCTTAATTTAACCCTAGCTGCTCATATTCCCTCTGCAGAACCTTTTTCCTCATTGTAGCTATATCGTTGGTACTTATGTAGACCACAACAAATGGATCTTTTCGCGCCCCCCCACTCCAAGCTCCTCTGAAACCTAGATGAAATATCCTGAACCCAGGCACCAGGCAGGCAACACAGCCTTCGGGACGCTCGATCCTGGCCACAAGAACAGTGTCTATTCCTCTGACTATACTATCCCTGATTACAGACACATTTCTCTTTTCTCCCCCCTCTTGAATGGCTCCCTGTACCACGGTGCTATGGTCAGTTTACTCATCCTCACTACAGCCCTCACTCGCACCCACACAGCGAACAAGAATTTCAAACCTGTTAGGCAAGCTCAAGGGCTGAGGCTCCCTCAGCACTACTTCCTAGATGCTTCTACCTATCTCACTCATAGTCACACCCTCCAGTCCCTGACCAGTGACCAAATTTGAGGTAGATAATGTAAAGGATGTGACTGCCTCCTGAAATACAGTGTCCAGATAACTCTCCCCCTTCCTGATGTGTCACAGTGCTCGAAGCGCAGACTCTGAACCAGACTTCCTCAATCAACCAACGCTTGCTACAGATGTGGTTATCCTAAGCCACAATGGGACCCACCAGCTCCCACTTCACATAGTTACAACACATCACCTAGCCTAGCACCTCTATTTTAACTACTTAACTCTTAATCTGAATTTTAAAAATTTTGCACTGAACTTTTAGTTTATAACCTGCAAATATTTCTTCTATTTACCTTCAATCTGAAAATAACCTATAATAGTCAAATTATTAACCAATGAACATACAGTTTCTGTGTGATGTCACTGGTGCTGGGCTCTGATTCAGGGCTTCATCTATTCTGTTAAAAATCTTGCAAATTATGAATGAAAAAAAAAGCTAAAAGCACCTCTTCCCCCTGCACTGAAATCCCACATTACCACCAAATTCCCTGAACTAAATACTCACTTGGCCTGTGTCTCACTCTGGATGGGATCTCTCCATTCTGACCGTGCGAAGCTTACTGATCAAGTTGTCTATTCAACTCATCAAGTCTACTCTGCCATTTAATGAGATCACAACTGATCTGATCATCCTCAGTTCCACTTTCATGCCTTTATCCCATACCACTTGATTCCGTCACTGTTTAAGAACGTGTCTATTCAGCGTTGAATGTATTTAATGATGCAGCCTTGACAGCCCTCTGTGATAAACAATTCTTCACATTCACTACCCTCAGAGAAAAAAAAATTCCTCTTCATTTCTGTCTTAAATGTGCAATTTCTTATTCTAAGATTATTCCCTCGGGTCGTAGACTCTTCCACAAGGGGAAACAACCTGTCCTCTACTTTCTATCCTGTCAAGTCCCCTAACAATCTTGTACATTTCAGTAAGGACTTCAGCCAACAATGTTGAGGCAAAGGAATTAAATTCAGTATAAAACAAGGATGGATGCTGGATCAGCATAACCGACTAGCATAGCTTTCTAACTAAGTTGAATAAAAGCCAAATTCTGTAGATGCTGCAAGTCTGAAACAAACATAAAAATTGCTGGAGAATCTCAGCAGGCATGGCAATATCTGTGAAGAGCAAATGAAACTGAAGTACACTGAAATTAGAAAATGGTGAAAAAAATAAAGAAGTCTCCATGAAGATGTTCAATAAGATTTGCCAACTTAACCCTAGCTCCCTAATTGTACCAATTTGCTCTGCTTCCAGGATTCTAAACGCACAAAGCAAGGTGATCATTCCAGATAATGCTGGTAAAAAAAAATCATCACCTCTGATGCTCCTCCCCAGGACTTCACAGCTTCTTCCAATTCCGTCACACGACCAACCTTCATGGTCTCACTCCCCATTGCGTTCTTCCTCTCCTGGGCTTGAGCCTCTGCCAAGCAAGAGTGGATTATGGGTTGAACGCGATGCAATGCCTGGGACAGGAACTGGAAGTGGACCTGCAGGACGGTCAAGAAACATCGGCCTAGCACCTGAGGAGCAGAGAACAAAGGACATTAAGAGATTTGCCAGATGGTGGACATCGCTCAAAATTAATTCAAGCAGCAGACAAACCTATCACGAGTGCTGGCAAACCTGCTATATCAGTTCCCAGGTTCATTCAACATTCCAGAAATGCATACAGCCCTCAGAAGGAAATACACAAACAGGAGAGAGATTAAACTGTTGCCAAATAGATGATGAACACTTTACACAATCCACCGAGAATCAAATTAAGGCAAGATTCTGTACATGGTGCTACAAATTTTCATTTATCTATCACATATAGGACTGATAAATTCTATGTAGGTGACACTCATTATCCTTTAAAATATAATTTAAAAACTGTTCTTTTAGAGCGGGGTGGTTAAGGGATATTTAATAGAAATCTTCACATATATGAAAGGCATTAATGAAGTAAATGGACTTTAAATGCTTCCCATTAGCAGGAGGTTCAAGAAGCAGTCAACATTGATTTGAGCTGATAGGTAAAAAGATGAGAAAGTTATTAACATCTGAAATGCATTTCCTAAAAGTACAGATTCAATTATAATATTCAAAGGGGAACTGGATGAATATCTGAAGGGAACATAAAGTGCGTGGTCATGGGGAAAGATCAAGGGAGTTGGATTAATTGGATAACTCTTTCAAAAGAACTGACTGAAGTACAATAATCATAAGACCATAACTGCATAAGATATAGATGCAGAAGTAGGCCATTCAACCCATTGTGTCTGCTCCATCACTCAGTAAGATTAGGGCTGATCCAATTATCCTCAACTCCATTTTTCTGCCTATTCCCTATAATCTAGATTCCTTTCCTGATTAAAAAATCTATGTCTCAGCTTTACACATAGTTAACAATACAATCTCAACAGCCATCTGTGGTAAAGAATTCCACAGATTGATTATCCTCAGAGAAAAAAACTCCCCTCATCTGTCTTAAATGTACAACCCCATTATTGTGGGATCATGCCTGCTGGTCCCACAAGGAGAAGCAACTTCTCCACAACTGCCCTGTTGACTCCCCTAAGAATCTTGCACATTTTAATAAGGTCTCCTTCTTCTAAATTCTAATAAGTACAAGCCCAACCTACCTGACCTCACCTCATAAGAAAATCCTTCCCTATCCAGGGTCAACATAGTGAACCTTCTCTGCACTGTCTCCAATGCCTTAGAAGAGGTGATCAAAAGATGGAGTCTGACTAGTACCTTGCATAGCTTTAGCAAGACCTCCCTATTTTATATTCTTTTCCCTTCAAAATAATGTATTGAACAGCCTCCTCCCATCCTGTAAAATAATATTGTATGAATTACAAAAAGACCACTCTGGACCAGTTCCAGATTACTGACATTACATACAAACATTCAATCCTATGATACTCCACAATCAAGACTCAAAGAGGAGGCAACTCAAGTGATAGGCAAAGACAGATATGTAGGTGAGACTTTTTTGTACAGGGCTTGGAAGGAAGTGACGGAGAGAAACAAAACTGCAGTTTGCTCACAGAGCTCACATGAAGAAATAGTGGAAAAAAATAACTTGCATTTATATAGCATTTTTCACAATCTCAGGATATTCCTCAAAGCATTTTTACAGATAATTAACTATTTTTCTAGTATAGTCACTTGCAAAGTAAGATGCACACAACAAGCTCTCACAAATAGCAATTTGATAGTGACTAATGACATTGATGAGGGATAAATATTGGCTAGGATGCCAGGTAGAACTACCCTCCCATCTGTGAAAAATGTCTTTGCACTTCACAATACAGCACTGCAGTGGATGCCTAGATTATGGGTACCAGGAACTGAACACTCAAACTTCTGAGTCAAAGTTGAAAGCAATACTTATTGAGGCAGGTTGAATATAGGTGATTTGAAAAAAAAAGATCATGCTGGTTAAAGCCATTTTGCATTTGAGTGTCTTCATTGTGTCTTATTTCTCACTTTATGGCTCAATCCTGAAGTTGACACATTATGAATGGGTGCATATGGCTTGTAGGCATTATAATACAGGTTTTAAGACATATCCATAAATTCATTGTTCTCATGGCAGTCTGTACCTGTAAAACTTTTACTTACATTTTCAGATTTCAATACAATTCAAGGGAATTTAGATTCTCTTTCTAGTCATCACCACAATCTTCATGCTTTAACAGCTTTCTTTTGATTTGAATTATTGTTGTCACATGTACTGAGATACTGTGAAAAGTATTGTTTTGCATGCTATACATGCAAATCATACCTTATACAAGTGCATCAGAGTAATTGAACAGATTACAGAATATAGTGTTACAGCTACAGAGAATGTGCAGAGAAAGATCAACTTTAATATACAAGAGGTCCAATTCGTAAGTCTGATAACAGTGGGGAAGAAGCTGTTCTTGAATCTGTTGGTACATTTTCAAACTTCTGTATCTTCTGCCTGATGAAAGAGCGTGCAAGACAGTATAATCGGGTCTTTGATTATGTTGGCTGCTTTCCCGAGGCAGTGGGATGTAGGGATGGAGTCAATAGCTGGAAGCCTTGTTTGTGTGTTGGACTGAACTGGATTCACTCTGTAATTTTGCTTTTGCTGTACTAAAGATGATCAAAACACCAATAATTTTCTTGATAAGTTCAAAAAGAGAAGATTTTACCAAAATTATATTTCTCCTTTTCCAAAAGCAGCAAGGTAAAAATGTGTGACAAATTTAATACCCCTCTCATGAAATATTAAATCAGACGCCTTGTCTACCAGCTTAAAACAGCATTACAAATTGGAGAGTGCTATCTGAATAGCAAAGACTTCTGACAGTGTTCTGGCCATTAAATCTCCCTTAATGAGCAGGACAAATTAACATCTCATTCATCAAAATCACAGCAACTTGCATTTATGTAGTGCCGTTAACAAAAATAGAATGGCCCTATAGTGTTCCACAGGAGCAATTATCAAACAAAATCGTAGAAAAGTATATGGATTTCATTTAAACAGGTGATCAACAACTTGGTCAAAGAGGTAGGTTTTAAGGAAAAACAGAAGAAATAGAGATAAAAAGGTGGGAGAGTGTGGCAGGGATGTCGGAGAGAGAGAGAGCGCAAGTGAGTGCGAATGAAAGCAAGCGAGAGAGGAGCGAGAGAGCGAATGTGAGCGCGAGAGAAGGGGAGCGCGCACGCGAGCACGAGAGAGAGAGCGTGAGAGTGAGGAGAGATTGAGAACGAGTGAGTGGGAGTGAGAATGAGACAGCCAGCTTGTGACAGCAAGCGCGAGAACGAGAGTCAGGGCGAGAACGAGCGAGCAGGAGGGAGGGAGAGAGAGTGCGAGAGAGAGAAGATAAGGTTTAGCTAGAGAATTCCAGAGCTGTAGTATCAGCAAACAGAGGATTCCTTGCAGTGCAAAACCCAACTTCTGAGTTTGTAGTTTCTGAGCTGGAAATCCTCAATCTTTACTGACGTAACAATAACTGCCCTTCAAAAACAATTCAACAAAAAAAAAATACTTTGGCAATAATAAAGCAGTATGTACACTAAGGTTGCTTTCTTTAAGCAGACTACATTTCTACTGTTGATCATTGTGGATGTTTGAGGAAAATTGCTTTGCACAGAATTTCAAAAGCTGCAAATCTTTCAATTGAGGAAAAAAATCCTCTGTTAGTATCACACTGCAGCGATACCAACTATCACAAACTCAGAATTAAGGGAGTACAGAGCAACATGAACAATGCGCCAACAAAAATAACAACCAATGAGTGGCCTAATTGTGGCCTTCAAAATTCTGAAAGAGTTGACACAGAGAAGGCCAAGCAGCATCATAGGAGCAGAGAGGCTGACGTTTCGGGCCTAGACCCTTCATCAGAAAAGGGGGAGGGGAAGGGGGTTTTGAAATAAATAGGGAGAGAGTGGGAGG